TCTCGATCTGCTTCTCCAATGCATCAATCCTCGCTGAATTGTCTCCTTCAGCCATCTTCTCCTTTCTTAAAACCTGGACTCCTTCTAATGAAATAAGGATCTCGCCGAGCTTCTTGTATTGGGATCAAGTAAGGACCATACACAGGATGCCCCTTCACCGAATCTGATGCTCTGATACCAACTTGATACGAGTTGCCGTGCGAGCACCCTTTGGTCGCGGAATTACCAAAAAGTGGGTTGAGAAGAGGATGACCAAAATACAAGAACAATTCAGTTTGGCGAAGGAAAATACCTTCTCTAGATTATGAAGAACAAAAAATTACAATCTCTCTCTCACAATCTCACTCTAGAATTGAAGAACAAGCTCTCCAAATCTCAATCTAGAATCTAATCTCTCTTGATTAAACTCTCTGATCTCAAAGATGTTTAGAAACCCTAAAACAATCCCTTATATAGGTGTACAAACGTGGATAACAATTTGGTAAATAACCAGACCCAAAACCAACAGGAATTCGTGTGAACAGAATCCCAAACGAACCAGGAAACCATCGATGAGTCGACTCATGACTGAGATGAGTCGACTCGTCAGAAACTGGACAAAACTCAAAAACCAGCGACGAGTCGACTCATGACAGTCATGAGTCGACTCAACCTGATGAGTCAACTCATGACTGTTATGAGTCGACTCACAGGCTGAAAACTGGATACTTCGATTCTTCTGCTCGTCATCTCATTCCATGCTTCCTCCTGCGTTCTCTTATACTGTTTGACACCTCTATTCTCATGCTATCATAAGAATCATCTATCCTCAAGCTCCCATGAGGATCGCTAAGTTCCGAAGAGAAGATACACCCGTATCGGAGGATGACAAACAACTTCGAAATCATCGTCTTTTCTTAATGAAGTTGGGGAATCTGGGTTCACCATCAAATTTTTGGCCATCTTCTGCCGATTGAGACAAAACCCTAGAATGGAGATTTAGGAATTTCACCGGCTACTGTTAACTGTAGAGATAGAGAGGGAAAGCAACACAGGGCGGGAGGGAGAGAGGGAGCCTTGATTTGAGATACGAAGTGGGCGGGCGCGGTTACCAACACGTCGTTAATGTAGCGCTGTGGGCGGGAGGGGTAGAATAGGGTTTTAGAAATTTTTCTCCCATCATGCTGAGTTGGCGGGGCTGAAACGTAATTTTACATTGTAGTATGAGTTTATACACATGGGTAAAAGTACAGGGGGCTAATGCACATAACTTTTTAAGTTTTGGGGCCTTGAAGCAATTTTTTTCTTAATTTATCTCAAATTCAACAAACCTTAAATTTGATTAATTGCAAATCATCACAATAATATGATTTAAATATTTTCTTAGGCTCTTAAAGATTCCATAACTTATTTAATTAAATGCATATGTTATGGATCCAAGTAACTAGCCATTCTTTTATTTTCCCTTTACATAACCTCTTTTTCATCTCTACACTATAAATTATGGCTATTCATTTTCTTCAACCCACTACATCACCTACTAAGCCAAATTCCTACACCAACACAATGGTTTATGAAATACGTTATACAAAAATTTTGTCAAATGGTTTATAGTGTATGTGACTTACATATATATGTGCATGTGCATACAATGGATAATATTTGTCAAATGGTTTAAAGACTTCAAAGATTTTTTTTATGGAGTTGAAAACTATATCTCATGTTCAATTCGTAGCTCTTGATTTGTGTTTTGTCTCATGAATCCTTAAAAAAGAGAATAATAATAGATTATAGGAAAGTTCTTATTTGGAAGTCTTGATATTTAAGAGTATGTATAAATTTGATTTGAGAATCAAAGATTATTTTTAGTATGTAATTTTTTTTATTGTGGATTAGGTAGGATTATTACGAATCTTTTAATACATAAAAAAATGTACGATCTTATTTTTTTGGAGTTTATGCCAAGCCATTTAAAAGATTTTTATCCCCTCGCACAATGTTGTAAAGATGTTTATGTGCTACTTATCATAAGTTGTGCTTTTTTTAATATAGGTCATAAGTTGTGCTTTCTTGTTCATTAGATATATTCATGGTTTAATTCTTAACTAATTACTCAGTCCATATGCACTTTAAATTCAGAGGTGCAATCAACTTACCTAACGATTTTAATGTTTCTTGTTCTTTTGATTTTCTTATGCCTATTAATCATCTTTTATGTTCCTTCGTTAATAATTATGTTGAATCATCGAACTTTTCTTCTTCTTTATTAATCACCAATAAGTTCTTTGTTCCTCTTAACTTTAGGCTACAAAGATTAACTAATGAAACAAATTAGCTATCTATCTTCCATTCATTGAGTAACTTAGAACACACAAACCCATATATGATATATTTGATTGAATTGAAAAAAAAATTGATTTCTTTTATGAAGTCTATATTAATTTGTCTCTATATTGAGATTCTCTATTGAATTAAAAAATTGACCTATACAATCCCTATGAACTGAGCTATTCAAAGAATATCTTTATATTGATTGTGGTTTATCATGCTACTTTTAGCTTTTCTAATTTTACATCTAATAATAATTTTTGCTATTCTAACAAGATACTAGACATTTAATATTAATTTTTTCTTTTAGTGGCCTTTGCAACTTTCGTGCATGATATATCGAGAGTTAATATACCTTAAGTAAATATTATATTATGAGTACATATTTAAGAATCAATAATGTAGAATATATTATTTACTAATAATTTGTTAAACAAAGTATGCCACGTGTAACACACGTGTGGCACACTAGTCCAATTAAACCTAGATAAGTAAAATATGATGAAAATAGTCCTAACCAAAGCAACAAAGGCTTAAACCCTAATCAAAGCAAGAACAAAAAAAACCAAAATGCAAGTCTATTACTTTTTCAAGTCTAACAAAAAGAAACAATTTTCTTCTAGTTTCAATTTAATTAAAGTTATCGAGATATAACCTGCCAATTCTATGTAGATTATTTCATATTTGGGGCTAGATTTATTATTGCCGACGAATTTGGGGCTTGATTTAGCATAAGCGATGATTTCAGGGCTGGATTTTAGGGCAGCAATCACCGGCGATTTTTAGGGCTCGGTGAAATTTGGGGTTGAATATGAAAGCTATTTTTTTAACTAAGAGGGTTTAATTTAGGGGACATGATATCTTCGTCTTTCCACATGAACGTTTTTTATGGTGGGAAACTTTATGCTACTTACTTGTAACAAAATGCAAGTTATGGAATGAAAGTGAAATGAGTGGGAAACTATATGGTATTTAAGTGTAATTTACCCTTATATCAGTACCTTAAATCTTCCATATTTTGAAAAATAGTCACCCAAATCCTGGAAATTCCAATTACGTCCCGAACTCTTAAGCTGTTTTGAAATTAGTCCCTCATATCATGGAAAATTCTATTACGTCCCAAATTCTTAAGCTATTTTAAAATTAGTCAGTCAAACCAATAATAGAATTAGCAATTAAAGGTATTAGTTTGAAACAACTTATGAAAATTGAGGGACCTATTAGAAGTTTAGATGATTTGAGGGCCTATGTCTAATTAATACTTTTACTCTTGATTGGAAGGGACCAATTTCAAAATAAGTTAAGAGTTGGGGAACCTAATAGCAATTTTAGTGTTTTGATGGAGAAATTTCAAAATAACTTATAAATTGAGGTATAATAGCAGTTTTTATGATTTAATGGACTAATTTCAAAAAAATGAAGATTTAAGGGACTAATGCAAAAGACCCACAATAAAATAAGGCTTTTCTTTCCTAGAAATTTTTTAAAGTGGATCCTTCTACAGAAATCAGGTCTGGATTAGAATGAGTTTATATAAGGGGGTCGCACAATTAAAAGTACCTTCAAATTATTTAGCTAATTAATATCATTCATGATATGAGTTTATATAAGGGGGTCGCACAATTAAAAGTACCTTCAAATTATTTAGCTAATTAATATCATTCATGATATCCACCGAGTGAAGAGTTTTGACTAGTGAGTTATAGAATATCTCTACAATCAAGGATGTAAAAGGATCTCTACTCATCTTTAATTATCAATTTATACATAACTTATCTTTAAACATAGGCTCACTTTAAGTTGCGTTGTTAAAAAATAGGGGTTTTTGCTTTTGGACCCATTTGTTTACTCCCATTTATCTTTAAACCCAAGTACTATTATTTGTATCTTTAAGCTCAATTCATTTTTTGTATTTATTTTTAAACTCAATCTTCAAAATACTATATTTTCACCACTTGTTTTTATATTTTGGAGATTGGGTTTAAAGATAAATACAAAAGATGAATTGGGCTTAAAGATAGAAATAATAGTACTTGGGTTTAAAGATAAATGGGAGTAAACAAATGAGTCTAAAAGTAAAAACCCCAAAATAACTAGTAAGTAAGGGGCGGCCCAGTAAGTCACATGAAAAAACCGTGTCGCTCGTGGCGGGCTTGAATTTGATTCCTATGTACGCGAAAGGCGCGATAAAAAAAGTAAGCACACCAGTTTGGCCAAAATTAAGGCCCGACTACGCTAGGCGTGTTTGTCAAATCAAACTTCACTAGTGTGTACCCATGCAAATCACGACCTTCTATTTTTTTAAGCATTGTATTTTGAACCAGTCTTCCTCTAAAGTTTAATGCATTTAATTTGATTATTGTAGGTTTAAAATTAGAAATCATATCTACTGCTCCATATATTGAGGAGGACCCAAATATACACTGTTCTTGCTATAGGTATTTACGAAGTTGAACTCCCGTGAAGTTTAAAAATATGCTAAACTTCACGGGACTTGAGTTCAACTCCCATGAAGTTTCATAATTTTTTTTTTAAAAACCGACTTGGCTTCAGCGACAGGACTAAAACCTGGTCGGTTTTTAAATTTTTTTGCAAAAACGGTCATTTTTTAAAAATAAATAGTGAAAGGGGTTGGTTTTGAAATTTTGTCCTATAAAAAAAAACACGCCCTATTTCTGGGCGCGCCTCTTACCTTTCTTTTCCAAAAAAAGAGTCCTAAAGGTTCTTCTAGGGTTTTCCCCAAAAGATCTCTAGATTTCTATCTCTCTTATTCGGAATCATCGAACTCACAACATGAAGGTGAATCCTCCACTTATGTTCTTCTACTAGTTTCTCCTAAAATTACCTTTTTTTTATACTGATGATCTTGATGTCGCCGTGGTTTCGAATTGAAACAGATTGCAGTAGAGGGGTGTATGCATGGAGAGCTCGATAAAGTCTATGAGACGCTCCAGCAGTTGGAGAAAGCGGAGAACACCAAGATTGATCTTCTAATTTGCTGCGGGGACTTTCAGGTATGATTTTGGTGAGCAATCCACGGAGAAATCTTGCTTTCCCGTCCCAAGTCTAGATATTTATCTCGATTAGCAGTCCACGGCGATATCTTGCTTTCCCGTCTCAAGTTTACATATTTACTAGAAACGGATGAAATAATTAGCTATTTGAAATAGAAGACTGTAACAGCTCAATGAAGAATACTGATAGGTCCGTAACCAGTAATAGTGTTTACCATAGCATCAATCATAATTCTTGAACACGGTAAGTCTCTTCATTGAGAAGAATAAGGTGCGTAAAACGGCTAAATTTGATCAATGTTTTAGAATCATTTTAAATTTGCCGTGTTTGGGGATCATCCGATGCATTTTCACAAACCCATATGCTGCACTTAGGGGATAGGTTGTTTTTTTTAAATGAGCTTAGAATCTCAGAGGAGAGCGACCAGCGTGCATTTGGTTCACTGATCAATGGAATATATTTTTTACGTTTGATTTAGTGGTTCTCATCCTGATCTCAGTTTCTTTGTTCCTATCTGTTGATTTTAGCTTTTGCTTTATTCCCAAGATAAAGCCATAAAACCACAAGATAAGTTGATTTCAGTGTATACAATGATTGTCATATCCTATTATGCTATTACTAAAAATGCTTGTCTAAACGCTCGCGCATCTCTATTTTAAGTATATGTTTATGCAATCTCTCCTTGTTCGGAATATGGTCTACTTTTATACGTTCTTGCACCAAAGAAAATTTCCACAATCTAGTCTGTGGTTAAGGCTTAACCTTATTCACATCCTTGTGCCAAATCTTGTTTTATGCTTTCATCCATTCTTCTAGAGTCCAAACCTATATTCTGTTTTCTTAAATCATGCTTCTGTATGGAGCATTAATCAATGAGTTGCTTGGTTTGTGAGATTTGTAACTCGCTATTCTTATATATAACCTTTTGTTTCTTCCTTGTGTGTTTTGCATGAATTGAACTTTCAGATACTTCTTCACTGCATTACTTATAGTTAAAAACTTTTTCTGGCAGGCTGTTAGAAATGATGGCGATCTGAATAGCTTAAATGTCCCACTAAAGTATCGAAGTATGAACTCATTTTGGAAGTACTATTGTGGTCAAGCAGTTGCTCCATATCCCACGATATTTATTGGTGGGAATCATGAAGCGTCAAATTACCTGTGGGAGTTGTAAGTTAAATAGCTTTTCTACATTACCAAAATATTTGTCAGAACTAAATGCATCCTGGATAATGTATATTTGTTTCAGAATTTCTAATTTTAGTTTACTTTCATATTCTATTGAAAGCTTCATGTATTCCTTGCGTCATGATGTTGATTGAGGAATTATTTTTAATAGGAGAATTTGACATGCTGTTGTGCCTTGCAAATACTGGTCAAACTTTAAAGATACTTCAGTTGAGATGGTTCAAAGGAGAATAAAATTGTTTGAGCATGCAGGATAATAATATTCTGTTAATCGTATAGCCCTCGAACTAGCATAGGTTTGGAAAAAAAATTCCGCAAACCTATGCCTCAGTAAATTTTGTTATCTTTGGGAGAACCTAACCAGTGGTCATGAACTATCGAAAAGACTTCAATGTCAAAGTTGTTTCTACTGTCAAACTGAAATGCATAAGCACATGTATAGATTCAGCAATATAGAATCAAGGAAGCCTTTTAACCAAAAGGGATTCTGAATTCTTAGTTGTTGTTGAAACAGTATCTCTCATAACAGTTTTATGTGTATACACACACACACATATGTATATATATATACACACATATGTATGTATATATATACACACACATCTACATACATATGTACACACACACACATACATACATATGTATATATATACACACATATATATATATATATATATATATATATATATATATGAGAAAAATAGGTATGCTTGGTAGTGAGGTGTCTCATTCCCATCCACTCATTGTCATTCCCAACAACTCCCCAACCCATGTGAGTGTGGGCCCTGATTTTAATGAGTGGAGGGGAATGTGACACCTCACTACCAAGCACCATTTTTGTGCTTGGTACCAAGCATACCCATTTCTCTCTCTCTCTCTATATATATATATATATATGTATGTATATGTATATACACACACACACACACATACATATATATGTATATATCTATACACACACATATGTATGTATGCATATGTATATATATATATATATATATCTTACACACATATGTATGTATACATATGAGCCTCCTTAGATCGAATCTAAGGTTGCACCTTCAAAATTATGTTATATGCAATCAATTTTACTTCGTTTACTCCGTTCATTTTGATCTAATATTTTGGATGGTGTATAAAGGAAAATTAGGCATATTAGGTTGTAGCTAGGGGTGTCCAAAAAGCCCGGAGCCCGGGCCCGGCCCGGTGTCCGGCCCGGGCCCGGAAACCCGGGCAAAACCCGGGTCCGGGCTCGGGCCCGGCCCGGGCCCGGAAGGCCCGACCCGGCCCGGCCCGGCCATAACGGTCACAAAGGTGACCGTTGCCCAGCCCGGCCCGGGCCAAATCTGGCCTAACGGCCAGATTTGGTCTTTTGACCGTTTTGCCCCTTAAAACGGTCAAAAAACGGCTATTTTTCGAGGGTTTTTTGGTCATTTACCTAGGGGGCTGCTTCTATAAATAGAGGGGGGGTTTCAATTCATTTTCTCACAACAAAACTCATCTATTTCTCTCTCTACTACTCTCTTATACAATCTTATACTATCTCATACTAATATACTATCCTATAATCTTTTGTATTTTCTAATACTTCCAACAAATGGCTTCTGGGTCTGATTATGAAGAGCAACATGCAACTCCTACCGATCCAGAGATGAGTCCTCCTACAACAACTCCTCATCCTACCGGTGTTAATCCTGAATCTGGTGGCGACGAATCTACGGCACCAAGAGCTCCAAAAAGGCCGAGGTCTGATGTATGGAATTTTTTTGAGAAGATAGACGTCACCAAGGATGAACACGGTAGGATCATCTCTCAGAATGCGAAATGTGCGTTGTGCGGCCAGATATTCAAAGCTCATCATAAGAGCGGCACCAACCATCTCAAACGGCATATTGAAAAACACAACAAAGGCCAAAATCTACAAGGTGATATCCGGCAGTCTATGCTTTCCCAATCATCCTCTTCAGGTACCCTCGGCAGTTGGAATTATGACGCTGCCCGAGCCCGGAAATGCGTAATCAGGTTTATTGTTCTTAAAAACCTTCCTTTTAAATTAGTAGAAGATGATGAATTTGAAGATTTATTTAGAGATGGTTTTTATCCTGCATTTACAAAATTTTCTCGTCAAACCTGTCAACGTGATATTTTAAAATATTATGTTGAGGAACAGGGAAAAATAATTTCTTATTTTAAAAATTTAAACTGCAAATTTTCTTTAACTTCTGATATTTGGTCATCTAGAGTGCAAACTGGTTATTTATGTATAACAGCACACTGGATTGATGAAAGTTGGAAAATGTTTAAAAGAGTTGTTTCTTTTATTGCAATTGAAGAGTCACACACTGGTATTAATGTTGCAAATTTAATTGTTGAAGAACTTATGAAACTAGAAATTGATCAAAGAATATTTACTCTTTCACTAGATAATGCAAGTAATAATAATGTAGCTGTTGATTTTCTGAAAATAACTTTGTCATTGCCATGTCATGGTGAGCTTTTTCATGTTAGATGTATCTGTCATATTTTAAATTTAATTGTTCAAAGTGCATTTTCTGAAATTAAACCCATGATAGAAAAAGTTAGAACAGTTACTAATATGCATAATGCTTCTGAAATGAGAATTAAAAGATGGAAACAATGTTGTAAAAGAAAAAATTATAAGCCTAGACTAATTCCAAAAGATGTTGACCATAGGTGGAATTCCACCTATGCAATGTTATCTGTAGCAATAGAATATAAAGAAATTATAAATGATTTTATAAATTTTTATGCTTCTAGTTCTAGCTCTGGTAGTGCTTATGGAATAACTGAAGATGAATGGACAGTTATATGTAAATTAAATGAGATGTTACAAGTTTTTTATGATGCTACTATGTTATTATCTGGTTGTTATTATCCAACTATTACTTTAGCTGCTTTACAAATTTTAAATATTCAAAAAAATTTTACAAAATATCGTATGGATGATATTTTTGGAAGTATAATTTTTGAAATGGAGAGTAAATTTAATAAGTATTTTAGGCCTATTCCTCATATTTTTGGTATTGGTGTTCTTATTGATCCATGCTTGAAGGAAATTGGCCTTCGAAGTTTGTTACAATCATTGTATGGTGGACAGATTATAGACTTAGATGATGGATCCACCCTTACTGCTACTACTCATTATTTAGCTATTAGAAATTATTTTCAAACCTTATATGATGAGTATGCAGCTAGATATGGTGTAGCTACACAACAGTCTTCAGCTTCGGCACCTTCAGCTTCGAGCACAGGTCGAGGTAAAAGTGTAAGTTTTGATAGGTATGCAATGGTAGCTGAACTAACTGGTGGATCTGGAACTTCATCAGGATTAGATGTTTCTGAAATAGATGAATATTTTTCTGCTTCTTTAGTTAGATGTCAAGGAAATGCTTTAGATATTTTGCAATGGTGGAAAGTATATGGATCAGTTTCATATCCTATACTTTCCACCATGGTTCGTGACTTACTATCAGTGCAGGTTTCGACTGTAGCCTCGGAATCCGCTTTCAGCACAGCAGGACGTTTGATCGACGACCACAGGACATGCTTAGATCCGTATACTGTACAAGCGGTGATGTGCTTACAGGATTGGTGGAGATACGAGAAGCGAACACAAGGCATCGAACGGATTGCTATGATTGAAGATAAATTTGAAGAGTTGGGACTAGCAGATAGATATAATGATTAGATAATATTCATAAAATTGTAATTTTGTTTTCTTAGCTTTAAATTTGAATTAAATTATTTCGAAAAAAGTTGCAAATGATAGTGATATGGGTGAGTAGGTGCCAACCTAGTTGGGATGTACTCATCTATTGTGATGCGACGAATTTCGAAATAAATTTATACTTGTAAAGGATTTGTAAAGGATTTACCGATTATTAATAAAGAAGTTATTTTTATCATTTTTTGTACTTGTAATTTATGTCATTTCATTTCAATCTATTAATTAAATTTATGACATTTTTTATAATAATTTATGGTTTATGATTTTGTTAAAATTTAAAAAAAAAAATTTCTAAAAAAATCAAACCGGGCCGGCCCGGTGTCCGGCCCGCCCGGGCCCGGGCCCGGCCCGGACCACCCGGGCCCGGGTCCGGGCTTGGGTTTTGCCCGGCCCGGCCCGGCCCGGATGGACAGCCCTAGTTGTAGCCACTCATGCATCAAGTGATTTGTAAAATTAATGGTTTTACAATAATAAAACTAAAGCGACGTGTTAGAAGTATTGAAATATCATGATTTTTATTTTATAAATGTTTTAAGACATTTAGATCATGATGAATGAAGCGGATCGTCCATTGAAATAGCCCGATCCATGCATCGAGAGGTGCATCCTTATATTCAATCTAAGGTGGCTCCTTAGAAACATATTTCCCTGTATACACACACACACACACGAAGAACAAAAGTGTTTAGGTTTTGCAAGGAATGAAGTGTTAGCCGTATGTCTCTCCTTTTGTATCCTTTGGCTTTGGAGCATACATATCTCAGCCTTAACCAGATGGAAATTAATGTTGTATGATCTGAAAATAAAGGTCACATTTTGAGAATTATGAATAAATTACCAAGAATTATGTGTTAAGGTGTTTAGGGTACCTATTATATATATTCAGCTATGTAGAATCAATGTAGACTTTGACTCAAAAGGGATTTCAGAATGCTTACATGTATAGATGTGAAGGACAAAAGTGATTAGTTTTGGTAAGGAATGGAGTGTTAGCCTATGGATCTCTCCTTTCTTTCCTTTAGATCATACGTTCTTTTAGTGCTAATTAGATTGAAAATTAATGTTTTAGGATCTTTAAAATAAAGGGCACATATTGACAACTTTAATAATTACTGGATGGATTATATGTTAAGGTGTGTCGTACACCTATACAATAAAAATAGATAATGGCTTCTCGGAAGATATAAGACATTGAAAAGCCTTTGACATTGATCATAGGTTCTTGTTATTTGAG